ACAACTAGCAAGAGTTAAGTTTTGTTTAGTGAGTAATTCAATTAAAGATTTCATTATTATATTTAACTAATTTAAGAAAGAAGAACCTTTAATTTTTTGGTCAATATTTCTTGCAACTCCTCTGGTTTGAAAAAATGGCTACCATTATATAAATTATCGAATTCCGCTTGATAACCTTTTTCTTTCAGCAGTGTAGCCGATTGGTCGCCAATATAAGCAGGAATTATGTCGTCATAATAATTGTGATAAAGAAAAAAAGGAATAATTTTGTTTTCTAGTTTGGCATAGTTAAATATTTCATTGCGACAAGGTAAAAAAGCACTTAAACCAATAATTCCGGCTAAATGATAATCGGAAGTCAAACCAACTGCCAAAGCCACGGAGGCTCCTTGCGAATGACCGACCACCATAATTTTTTGCGGTGAGATACCAGAATTGATTTCCTTTTGAATAATTTTCTTAATTTGGTTAACTGAATTTAGCAACCCCGTTTTATCCTCTTTTAAACTCATAATATTACGAGGATTACCTTTAATATTGTATCAGGCTGGCATTCGTCGACCTCCATTCATACTTACTGAGATAGTAGGGGCTTGGGGAATGATAAACTTAATATGAGGGAAGTTTTTGGTTAATGGCTGGCAAATTCTTCGCTGGTTTTCAGCGTTGTTTCCTAAACCATGAAGGAAAATCACACTAGCTGAATGCTTTTTGGTTGGTCGGATAACTATTTCTTTCAAGGACGATGTTTTTTTATTTTTCTTGGCTTGCAATTGTCGGAAAATTACTATTCCTACTACCAAAAACACAATTAGAAAAACACTGATAAGCCAAAAGTAAATATATTTTTTGGAGAAAATTTTAGGCATTAAACAAAGTATTATAACAATATTAAGTATTTTTATGTTTTTATGTTGGAAAAAAACAAAAAGTATTAAAATAAGAATATGAATGTAAAAGATTTTTTTGAGTTATTTTTTGTAATTGCAGCAGGAATTGCTATGCCTTTTATCGTAATTGGCAGTTATTTTAATTTCGTTTCAGCCGGAAAACGCACTGAACCGCTAGCCGTTTTTTTTTTAATTATTAGTATTTTTTATGCTCTAATTTATTCTTATTTTTCCTGAAAGAGTTTAAAAACCGATAATGGTAGTTGA